CTGGGTCAGTCTCTATTATTATTATTTCAAGACCGGCTGATTCTCCGTGACCCAGTTGAGGAGCTGAAGGAGTCTCTGTGCACGGATGCATCAAGAACTGTCACTTTCTGATGATTGCAAATCAGACTGGCCATAAAAAGTGGCCCGACATGCCAAAAAAACCACCACCGTCTTATAGTCAAATTAACATTACAGATCTGAAGCTGATCATTTATATTCATGAAGCGTAATCAAGACAGTTAAAGGTTTAAAGGCATCCGTGTTTCTGGGTTTTAGCGTGATGACAGGTGGCTGTCAGGATAATGGCAAGTTTATAATAAGCAAATGTTTCCTGATTGATGGCTGGCATGTCACTGTTGCTCGAGACACTTTACTGATTCTCCTGTGTGAAAGACTGGAATGTTAACAGGAATGCAGATGGAGAAAAAAGTTAATGATTTAGACATTAAAGAACCTGCACATGCAGAAAACGGCACCGACAAATGATATGATTATAAATGTGTCTGGGTAAAAACGGCATGGAGCTATTGCTGAATATTTAGCCTATATTTTATTATGATTACACATTATGTTAGCATACACACAAATTCAACATGGGCTCATTCTGAAAACGTAGCCCTATATATATTTCTGGAGAGCGTGAATTATGTAGCCAGTAGTATTTAAGGCTGCATTTCATCTTTAAAACGATTGCAAAAGGGTGTGCCTATGGCTTTCCCGCTGTTACCAGTTTGTCCTGTTAGCTCGCCATGCACGTCAGCTTTAGATGCAGAGAAGAGTTGACCACGATGATGGGGTTCGAGACCAGTGAAGAACCCTTTCAGAAAGCAGGTAAGACAAAAGCAGAAGCCAAAAAATAAAATAAACATGTAAATAACAAGGTGAAAATGCGGTAAAATCTGAAAATGTGGTAAAAAATCAGGTGAGGGCTTTTCCTTTTCAGGATTGCTGTCGAAAATTGTTGGTTGGGTTTAGGGAAGTGGGTGTAATGTGTATTTTAGCAAGTCTCCAATTGTTACGTCCCAACCAGTCTAGGGTTGGTGGGAACAATAACAAGAGTGAAAATAAATAAATGAATTAAACTTGAATACTCAATTTAGGGTTTTCCCCTTCTCCTGTCCCAACAATGATCACAACGTTTATCAAGAAGTAACAAGGTTTACTGTTTTCATAGACACAGATATTAGAAGCATCTCTTCGGACGGGAATCCAGGCCAAAATAATAAACAAAAAGACAGCTAACTTGCAGGGAAATATTTCTAACTTACCTGCTTAAATAAAAAGTACCCCAAATAAAATTACAGCAAACTTCCCTTTCTTCCTCGCTGCCACAAACCAGGAGAAAACGTTTTTAAGTAAATGGTGATTCCCAACCGACTGCTTCTATTTAAAACCAAAATAATTTACTATATATATAATTTAATATTTATATATATATATATATATATATATATATATATATATATATATATATATATATATATATATATATATATATATATATATATATATATATATATATATATATATATATATATATATATATATATATATATATATATATACATATATACATACACACACAGAGAGAGAGAGACATATAGAGATATACATATATATATATATATATAGACATACATATATATAAAGAGACATATATATATATATAT